TAACCCAGGATTAGCGAGAATTCTGATTCCAGATTTATGGCACAGTTGTGGCCGCGAGGTTCTCTTTTATAGTGTTGGTCCATCAGTTTCGAGTCTGAATAATCTAAAACGTACACAAGACATAAGCAGTGCAAACATTTTTATACAAAAAGAACTTTTAATCCTGGGTTAGCGTTAACCGCCTTTCGAACAACCCGGCCTTGGGTTGTAGTTACCAGAGAAATTTGCGTCCGATAGCCAGTGGCTAGTAAATTTTGCAGTCGGGCTACAGGAGTCTGTACTTCACTTTCAAGTGAAGTTTCTTGGAAAATTTGGAGGACATTTTTTAGTAAATCCAAATAACATATTGAAGGATGTCAGAGATGAGATTTCCGGGGGCTACTGAAAATCATTCGGGCTAGTTAACAATTAGACTCGTAGCCCGCAAGGGCTACGGGTTATTAAATAGCCCATGAGGCTAAGGCGAATGGGCTATTGACCCGTGGTCCTTGAGGGCGAAGGGTCTAATTGTTTTAGTATCACCCAACTAGTCGGACAGAAAAGGCAATAATAAAGTTAGCAAATGCAAGTTGAGGAAATATCTATTTGGGAATAAAACGAAAGAAAGCGTCACGCTCGATGACGCCAATTTCGCTACTCGTAGCCAATTAAAAGGCAGGATTTGCATTAGTCCACTAGTTGGGTGATACTAATACGTCGTAGTTACAGCTTGTTGTAAAGGGCAAGCCAATAACTTGGGTTTTCTTTTTGCTTCCTGTGCTGTATAGTTGCATTATTTTACTGATAAACTCCTTTCATCGACGCCTTCAGATTAGTGCAGTGTCTACGAGACAAGTTTTGGAGAAGTGGAGGTATTTACGAGTTTTCCGCCGGTACAAAATCAAGACTGAACATGGTCGATGGATCGACGTTAACTTACGAAAGATTATTTGTTATTCAGCCTAATGTTCTTGAACCTCTTTTAAGTTATTGGTAAGTTCGGTTTTCATTTTCGTTTCAAAGTCAGCTTCTAGCTAAGGGCGCTAATTAATTCCTTTGCAAACCTTGTTCGCGGTGGCCTCATGGTTAGTGCGCTCGACTCGCAATCGAGCGGTCCGGGTTCGAACTCTGGCCGGGGTCATTGTGTTGTGTACTTGGGCAGGACACAGTGCCTCGCTCCACCCAGGTGTACAAATGGGTACCGGCGAATTTAATGCAGGGTGTAGCCGTGCGATGGACTAGCATCCCATCCAGGGGGGAGTAGAAATAGACCTCGTCGCTTCATGCTACGGAAACTGGAGATAAGCGCCGGCCTTATGGGCCACTTGGCTCGTATGCAGACTTTACTAAGAACGTTGTTCAATGCCTTTCATTGTCTTACAGGTGTATACGGTTTACAATGCATCAGCAACGCCGTTCTCACTGCCGCGACCTAGAGTACAACCGGCTGTTAAAAGAAAGGCCAAAGTCGTGCGTGAAACGAGAAAACGCTCTTGCAAATCTGCCTCAAGTTCCCGCTCACATGGGTCTGTCCCAGGTCCTCCCGAGCAAAACAATGGCTCCCAGACCCCAAACTAGTGGTGCCCAGAAGACGGGCATTCAGCACCAGACTTCCCGGCTTCAAGTACGCGCCAAGTCTGCTCATCCGAGGCTACTTCAAGCTACCAAGTACATGCATACAAATGCAAACACAAAACAACTGCAGGTAGGCACCAAGGAGAGGGGATTGGAAACAGGCGCGGACCATCTTATTTAATGCTTCATATTTTGTTATCTGGCTGTGTTCTAGTTATTTTTTGTGAGTGCGGTGGTGGGCAATCTTTCTTTCTCCTCTTTTCATCTTTACTTTTTGGCAATAATTCTGTTTTGTCCTTAAGTCAATGTACACGCACCATTTTTCGAAGTCCTGGAAAGCTACTCGTCCGATGGATAGCATTATCGGCACTTTAAGCAAGTCGAACATGACAGCTTCTGTACGTTGGTGGACATTCTACCACTGAGCCACAGGGAAACTTTTGAGAGTTAAGCCATTTGTTGAATTTGTTCCCGCAGTTATCCTTCAAATGTTTTCCAATTTCCTTTTTTTTAGAACATCATTGCCCCTGTGAAGACAGGTTATGGGTTCGAGCAGCCTCCAGCGCCTTCCTTTCCTGTTGAACCGGAGCCAGACTACCTACCTACCGTTAGGCTGTTTATCAACCCTGTCCCCTCCCCTGATAGTAAGATTCAGAGAATGATGAGGTAAGTGACATAATTGTTAGAGGAAGGTTATGTCGTCCTCGAAACAGCTTCCTCTCATCTCAATTGCTCATTATTCCAAGTTCTTTCAGTTTCACCGCGATGAATCACAAAAAATAATTTTTTCCCGTTTTTCTTTTTATTTACACAAACCTCCATAGGACGTTACATCGAACTGCAGTATTCGTTGACGGTTCCACGCCGACTTCTGTCGAGGAGACTGGGTCCAAGTCTGGCGCCATGTTGGATTCGTTAATCCAAGGACTGATTTATGAACGGCAGACTGGGAACTACTTCAACGCGTTTTTACAAAACTCAGGAAATGAGGTACTGTAGACCAGCAGTTGATGAAGGAGTCAAATTGTGGATTAAAACCAATTGTCTGACAGCAACTGGGCAGTTTCTTTGTTTGGTGCTGTTTATTATGCTGTACAAAGTGACGGTGCTTTTTTCAGTCTGTGGGTAAAACCTTGGTGTGTGATCATTCAAACGAAAGCTAATGAACGGTATGTTCATGTGGTACTGTTTATTATGCTGCGCAAGGTGGTTTTAACTTTTAAGTCTGTTGATCAAACCCTAGGGTGTGACCATTCAAATGAAAGCTTGCACACAGCACGTTAATGTGTTTTTAACTTTTCAGTCCCTGGATGAAATCGCAGTTTCTAACCATTCCCCCAAGAAAGATGAGGAAAGGGGGTCACTAGCTTTTTTTTTCGTTTTTCTGTAACTTTTGCTGATTTTGTTGTTTCACTGTAGTTATGGATGAACTGCCTGGCGTTTTGGAAATCCCTCCAAGAGTACAACGCATATTTCTTCGCTGACTCGCTTAATCCTTCTCTACTATCTAGAAAGGCGCGGGTACGTATGAACGTTTTGTGTCCTCTCAATTTCTCAATTTTTAAATTCCATCAAAAAATTAACTCGTCTTTGTAAGAAAAAGATATATTCGCAATACAAAACTCGAAATTTTCTTGGGCTAGTTAGCCCGTAAAACCAATTCGTAAAATTTCTCTCAAAGGTAAGAGACTCTAATATTAGTTTACACCTTTGAGCGTTCTGATTAAAGAACTTTTTTAAGTACACTCTGCACAAATGCTAAACACTATTAAAAATGGCGAAGGACTGACCTTCATTGAAGATATCAAGGCTCATTTTGTGTGTGTTCCACAGACAATGTATGCTAATTTTGTGGTGTCCGGAAGCGCACAGGATGTTCACGTGCACAGGGACATTCAGCTGCAAGTCCATAAAGAACTGGAGCCCCCGTATGAGGAGCTCTTTGATGCCGTCGAGGAGCATGTTCTACACTCGCTTTTGGAACCCTGGAATCTGCTTATCGCGCACGAAAAAGAATCGTATGGGCATGAGGTGAGATTTTAACTCTAAATTTTCTATCATATAAAGCTGCTTAGTCTTGTCTTCTGGAAGAGACTTGAACCTTTTTTTCCCTTCACACACTAGGTACCCACTGAACAAAGGTTGAGGCATATTGAAATCAAACTGATGACTAGAATGAGACAAAGTGTTATTCAGACTCATGGCGGGGTAAGAGACAAAGTTACTTTCTAGATACAAGCCTAAATGTAAGTCTAAGTGTCTAAATAAAAGAAAGTGGAATGGGTTAATATGTGTGCGAAAGGAATGTCAAGCTAAGAGGAGCCGCCGAACATTTGATTGACGGTAACGAAAAACGCGTTTGTCGGTTGAGCTTTGAATTTTAGAGCCCGCATGTTATTGAAAGGCGCAGTAATAAACCGCTTCAAATGTAGGAAGAACGCATGGATCGAAAGTCCGTCTTTTTTCCTCTTACTGATTATGAGGCATAGGGAATGGTTATCACGAATCCCATGTTCTTTCTCAGCTTGGTAATGCCGAAGATGATCACGAGAAAGAAAGGATTTCAGTAGAAGAAGCCAACAGACCCGCTCCTGTACCCAAGGACGGAATCACTTTCGAAGCGCTCATTAGAAACAGAGACGAAGTAGAACATTTCAAAGAATTTCTCAACAAGAAGCATGCTAGAGGTAAAGGGAGATGTTAAATAAAAAATTGTGTAATGATGAATGTTTATGGGTGGTCGATTCGCTTAGCTACAACTAGCTAGTTTTCAGGACTGCTACTTGAAAAGAAAGAAAGAAACATTTCAAGTTAACATAAAAGGCTTAAAAATCCCAACTGACGGGAGACAGACCAGTTGGCTATTTACACGCATGGCCGAGGAGTTGAACTAAGGTCCTACCAAGAAGCAACTCCAGCTTAGTGGTCAGAGCGGGACTTGAACCCGTGACTTCCGGGTTTAAGTCCAGCGCCCTAACCACTCGGCCACGCTGACTCCCAGTAGAATACAAGACAGCTGTGACTAGCCAGACCTGAGCGTCCGTATTGTGGAAGTGTCCATATTAGTAAAGGTTATATGAATTTCGCCGGCTGGTGGGACCAAGTGACCTCTCTGTAAAATGCAATCTTGTTCCCAGGGTCTCTCAGGAAAAAGAGAAGCCATGGGAACGAGGTTCCAAACGTAACATAGAGGTTTCCATATCATGGAGGTTACCAATGTTCCTTCGACAATTTATGCCGCAGTGATATTTGTGATAAGCACTTGTGAATCTAACCTGTTCGACGCTCTCGGTCAGTGGGGACGATCGAAAAAGCGGCCGGTCGACGAGCAGGGTCTGGGAGAGAAAAAAAAGAGGTTTTCTCCCTTTTCTCTCCCAAACCCGCTCGTCGCTCATCCGCATTTTCGATCTTCCACACTGACCGAGAGCTTGGGATAGGCTATCGAGAATCATGTGAGAGTAAGAGCAAAACTACTCTTCAAAAGTTTATTAAATTCGTTCTTGTACATCTCTTTGTAAAAAAAAAATAAGAAAAAATAAATAAGAAAACAGCAAACAGAAAAAAACAATTAACACCTTCGCATGTTGTAGGTATCAAAGATTTGATGGCTTGGACAGACATGGAAACATTTCACCGTGTTCCCCGCTTCATGGCAGAGAAGCGGGACAAGAAAGCTAGAGAGATTCGTGACAGCTGGCTGGGTAAAAAATACTTCTTTGGACCTGACAGCCCTGCTACCAGAGAGGGAAGAAACTTAGTAAGTTTCTCGCGATTGGAAAGTTTAGTTTGCTGTAGTTTTGGTTTTACTATGTTTATAATTAGCAAGAACGCATTATCTTCCCGTTAAGTGGCAATTACATTGATTTTCTATTATCTCTGTAGATAATGAACTTAAATGGAGGCCGTCCCATCAAAGAGAGACCCCAGTCTCCCGTCATTCTTGAAAGCCAAAAGTTCGTTCGCGCGCGAATTGAGCGCCGTTGGTTGATGTTGTTCAAACAAACGACAGAGTTCTTAGAAAGACAAAAACCGCGCACGGCTGGTGTGCCAGAAATGGTGGAGGATATCATGCTAAAGAGACGGCTACAGAGAAGCGAAGCTGCTTGGAAGGTAAAANCCCCCCCCCCATGTCCTTTGTAACCCATCTCCTAGTGTACCACAGCTGTTTCGTTTTACCTCTTTTGTTTTTGTATGTATTGTTATTTAGCTCGGGCCCTCGACGATCGGGGTACAATTTTCATGAAATCTGTCCTTTCTGCCTGGAAAAGCTACATTCTTCTAACACAGCATTCCAATTAAAGTGTCTTGTTTCTCCATTGAAGATTCTGAATAGCAGATGGGTCTCATCGTCACGTGATGTGGTGGCGTTACGTCAAACACTTCTCAATCCCAGCAGCTGTAGCGAGTTCACTGCGTTTGTGGCAGTGAAAGGTGACACGCTGGAGAGCAATGTTCACTTCTGGCTTGAGGTGCAGAAGTTCAAGGTAAAGATACCTCATGTACCTTAAAATCTGCGATGCTGAAGGGCAAGCGCAGGAACACCAAAAACAACGAAACGTCAAGCTTGGCAGATTGAAACCGCTTTCTCTTGGAATTTGGGGGCTCTCATTTTTTTTTTTTTTTTNAATCCCTGTTCTACAAATCAAACCACCATTTTTGGGTTTCCTGTGGTCACTTACTGTTTTAAACTTCTCTAAAAACGCACGCCGAAAATACGTGAATAGCAATGTCCGCTCTGCAAGCATTGAACGTGCGTTCAGTTATCTTCGCTCCCTTTCAGATGACCGTGTTTCGAGTTTTGTTTAACCACTGGAAGGAGTTCGTGACCCACCGGAGTAAGATACCCGAGGGCGAAGACCCGCGGGAACACTTTGCCGAAATGCTTCGAAGACACCGGGCTGACAGCAAGTCCAAGAAAGAAGCCAGTGAGCGCCGGAGGATGGCGCGACTGAGCGCCGAGAGAAAGAAGAAAGAAAAGGAAGAACGGGAAAAGAAGCGCATTGAAGATCTCGCGAGGTCAGTGAATAAGTATAGTTACTGGATTATAACTAATATCGGTGTTCCAAATAGGTCCGCGGGCTGTGTGGCACTGTGTCGATAGTTCAAAAATTACACATTGGAAACAAAATTATGCCCCAAAAGTCAAATTATTAGCAGATATATCTAAATCAGATTCTATTTAGTGGACCGATCGGTTTCAGAACTCGCTCAAGCTAAATCTGTGACGCCAGACATCCAAAATGCCCAGAATTTGGTCATTTCACGTTGTTGTTTTGCATAAGACGGCAACGAAATTTACAAAGATTTACAACGCACGTGAACAGCCATTGTTTTGCCCATTAAAACTTTTGTTTGTTGTATTCTCGTTGCCGTCGTGGTGTGCTTAAGGTCCCTTTTCAAAATGCAATTTCCGTGCGACTTGTCTCCCGAAAAAGAAAAGAAAAGAAAAGAAAAA